ACCCTGGTCGTCTACATGTGAAACAGCACAAATCCCACGATTACTGTCATGGCAACGTCACATCCAGAACAGACCCCAGACGCCTCCTCTCCCTAGAGGTCTGTAATATACATCACTTCCTAGTATACAAGTAGATACAAGCCAAGAGGATATACGGTATTTCCTTATCCTCGCAAGACCACCTACAATACACAGGGACACTACATCACCTCCAAGTTTCCGCTCCCATACCCACAGGGCAGGGAGGAGACGGTGTCGATAACATCGGAGAGAACCTCACGTGTCTGTCCACCGCGCTGGTATTATTGAACACAGGTCCAGAGCGTATCGCGGCTGGCGACGTCTTGTTGTAGATAAAGAAGGCTAGATGAAAGAGATCCCTTGTACTGCCTCTTGGTGGAGACCGAGAGAATGGAAGAGCTGGTGACGGTTACGGAGAGATTGCCCGAGTTCTGTCCTCCCAGTTAATAAACGGTCAAGTGATTGTCCGTAGTCTGTGGTCTTATCGCTGGAAGTCTGGAACCGGTCCGCATGTTGGCAGTGTTATCCAGTGTCGCCTGGCGCACCGTTTCTGCGGAAAAGCGTGATCCCCGCCCAGCAATGACCGCTCATGGCTACCCCGGGTCTGGAATCCGCGTAGCGCCGAGCGGATGAAAGCCGATAACCGCGCAGGAGGGCCGTTGACTTTTTCTGTTGCCTTTCGTGTGCCGGCCGATTGCTATTCCAAATCTGATCTCAGGCGCGAATGAACCCTATAGGTGCCTATCCTCAGACCGCCGACTCGGCCGCGGGTGACGGGCTCGGTTTGCTGTTGCCAGGCGTACCTTGCGGGCTAGGCTGGGGAGTACCCACGGCACCTTTTGACGGCCGGAACAGCTCATTCAACTTGCTGTAGAGCTCGTTGACCGCTGGCATGTTGGGAGGCGGCGTCATGATGGCCGGCGCGGTGGGAGCCACACCGCCAGTTTTCTTCGCCCGATCGGCAATAGTCGCCAGATATGCCAAATTGGCCTGGAGACGGCGCATACACTCAACATACTCGAGACTGGGCTTTTGCGTCGGACCCTTGGCTGCGTCGGTCGCCTGGTCGGACGTTGGTGATGGATTGTTGTCTTGCGATGCTTGTTGTATGGGAGGCCCGCCAGCCTTACCAGCCGCCTGCAGATTGATGACCTCTTGCAACAAGATGGAGTTGATATCCAAAAGGGTCGAGACACGAGCCTTCTCTCGCGCTGCCGCAGCCGGACTCTGCCCTGCTACCGGAACGGATCCTTGCTGTTGATTTGGCTGCTGGACAGCGCGCTGTTGTTGCTGTTGTTGTTGTTGCTGCTGCTGCTGCTGTTGTTGCTGCTGTTGTTGCTGCTGTGCTGGAAGCATGCTATTCGCAGAGACTGAAGCCATGTTCTGGGTAAAGTTTTGCGCCGCACTCGGGGACATGTTCGAGGTTGGGGTGCCCTGATGCGGCACGAACTGGCTAAGAGTTGCTGGAACAGGAGGTTGGGTAAAAGCAGCAGAGAAATTCCCGTGGGGTCCTGCAAGCGGGGAAATTGCACATCACGTTAGCGGCTTGTCCAAGAGTCTAAATCATGGAGGGCGTCCGTCCGAAGAAGTTGTGCAACTGGGTACTCCGGAGATACTCTCGAAATATGAAACGGGGCAGGGGAGGAGTTCAGGAACGACGTTGGGGGTAAAGGCCCGCACAGGTAGGACAGGAAATTCATGGCATCCATCAGGTATTTGGACTGAAGAAGAGAGCCGAATCAAGTTCATTCAAAGCAAAACAAGCTTAAGATAGCAAGTGCAAGTACTCGATCGACAGGATGACCGACGGACCAGGCCAAGGGGACAATGCACCCAACGCAGAGGAAGGAGGCCGGTGAATGGCTGAAAGACGCGAAAAGGGAAAACAGAAAAAGAAAAGATAAACTAGAAGACGACCAAGGAGATCACAAGTCAACGTACCAGACGGCTGCTGAGGGAAACCAGACGGCATCATAGCTCCACCGGGACCGCCAGATTGCAGAGGCACGGGACCGAAAGAATGCTGCTGATGTGGTTGTTGCACCGGCGTCTTGGATTGGGGAAATGAGGAGGAGGTGGGCATAGCATTCGGATAGAAAGGGAACTGCTGCCCGTGTGGACTCTGTGTGGTGACAGGATAGCCCGCGTTGTGCTGTTGCTGCTGCAGAGCAGGATAGCCGGCAGCGTTGGGATCCATTTTTCCTTATTCACAGTGGTCTGGTCCGAACGAAGTACCTAGTGTTTTGACTCTTGGAGAAAATTTGCCCCCAGTGTTACGCTCGGCGGTCTTTCTTCCCGCTCGACCTATATTAATCGCTGGACGAAGGGGGATGCGCAAAAAAAGACTTGAAATAAGGCACCGCACGGACGATAGGCAGGGCCCCAGTTAGAGTGCCAGAATAATATGCGAAGAAGAAAGACCAGCTTAGCTAAGGTACGCCCCGTAGACAATTGTCTGACTCGCTGGGGAATCCAGGGATGAGTCGTTAGTGTACGGAGTCAGAGGACCCAAAAAAAGGGCCGAGCACAACGATGATTGGCTCCAAGAAAAAGGTGCTTTCAGGAGTTGGAATAGACCAGGTTAAGGGGGTGGGACAAGTTGGCTCATGTGGCTAATAGACAGGATCGACTCTGGGGCGTCTTCTTTTGCTGGGACAAATCGATTCATCAACCACTGGGCATCGGAGCGGGAATTATCCGTCCGCCGAAGTCAGAGCAGCTGAGTAGACAGTGAAAACTTGACAAACCGGTACTGCAACTGGAGTCTTGAGGACAACGCCCATGATGCCTTGACTCAGAAAAGCACAGATAAGGAGGATATAGAATCTCTGTCTGATATATCGAACTGATCGATAGAGGGATGAAAGAAAGAGATTGCGGTAGAATTACTATACGTAAGACTAATATGCGTAAAATACAATATGAGAGATTTGCTCTGTAATTTTTACAAAAGACATGGCTGCACCATCACGGGTTACCTAAAAGAGTCAAACTGAAACATCTCAGGTCAATCATCGACTGCAACTATCGAGCATGCAGCATTTATACTATAATGTACATAGACGGGCACAAAGTATCTAATAAGTACCTCTATCACTTCAAGTCCAGTGCAAGATTCTTCCCTTACCTCTTCGAGCACGGTTGGAATAATCAAAGGCTCTATCGATGCTGAAACCCTTCCAGAACATCATCCACAGGCCTGCGCCCGATTCGCTGTGGTGGGCCTCGGCCACATTGACAGTTGACAGCCGAGATATGATGGATCATAGCTTATCTTTCATGCTTCATGCTTCATCAATTCGTCAATCCCCAACGATGGCACATAGCCATTAAGGGCTTGACAAAACACACTTCAAGGTCTCTCCTCTCTTCTGTTTCCATTTCCTCGACATGATTTCCGACTTCCGAGTGTCTAAATCAGGTGACAATACCCTTGTCTGATCGGTTTTATTGATCTGTCATTCGAGAGGTCTCCGCAGGCGGACTGGGCCGATGGAAGGGCTTGCCACCGATGGTCTCCGTTTCTCAACAAATATGTGAGTCTAAGCGAGCTCATAGACGGATTGTTGCTGCGGCACGTCAATTAAAGCGATGTTGACTCGGTCCCGCAGATAAGAAAAATATGATGTGCATGTGATGAGAGAGGTGTACTCACCTGATAAAGTTACAGCATCAGGGCATCTCGACTGCAAAGTCTTGCTTCCAACTGAAGTACTATTTTTGTTAACATGGGCCACGTAGCGCCCTAACTTTTTGAATCATTCAGCGCCATATTACGCGTTAACTTCGGATACGACTGGCTCATGCAAGGAGCATTGATCCATGGTCCCGGGATGACACAGCCCTTAGTATGGAAGTAGCTCGAAGATTGGACCGTGGAGGACCGGCTGTATAACTCCGGAACCATTACAGGTGAGTAGTTTCCGCCATTATTTTTGCTGTCGATCAATAGTTGATACACCCATCCGTGCCCCATTGGAAAAGAAGCTGTTCGTCAATTCACACATATGATTGGATATCATGGATTGGACACGGCCGTATTGGGAAGTCCATTTTTATAGCAGATCAACCGCGTCTTCTGCGAGCCGAATGCTTGATCTCCGTGTTTGCGTGATGCAGGCCGGCGAGGGCATATTGATAATTACCAATGTTGCGGGATCCATCAATGGAACTATTGATCTCCGACGGGTTTGTACTTACTCTAAGAAAGGTGAAGTCAGCTTGATCAATAGGTAATTGTACTTCTGCGAGGTTCGCTGTCTAGTGTCAAGACGGTTGGCCTCTGGAGATCGTCAGACGCAGAAGAACGTTAGTTCGTAAGCCAATGCAGCTGACGGGGGCACTCCTGCGCACCGCTGTGCCGCATATATGTATGCATGGCGATGAGGCAGCCTTGGCCAGGGTAGACTCATGAATGCAATTGATTACGGGTTTGGTCTGAGAGTGCAGCTTGCTTTTTCCGTAGGATGTTGACAGGCGCTCTCTAAACAGAGTTGTTTCGCGCGTATAAAGCACAGTGGAGCATCGCACGACAGTTCCGAAGGCCAGACAAACCTTGTGGACTCCAGTTCGTGGATCTTGTCGTTGCTACGATCTCTTCTGTGCCCGGTTTTCTTGCTGCTCGATAAGACATGTCTTCGGAAAGTAGGTACCACCTGCTGTCTCGCACCTTATTGGCATTGGGAGACCAGGATTGTTGACTAGCGTTCTCATGTTAGACTCGAAGTTACCATCCTCGACTGGCGACAAATTCGATTATTTGCAACAGCTGGTACAAATACCGAACATCCGAGAAGCTAGTTTCTTGATTAAAATGCTGATTCAAGCTGGTGCAGACGCCAGGGTCAACGGAAGTCCAGCTCGGGAGCCTCACGTATGGCCATTATGCCATCATTTATACTGATCGTAATGGCAAGGTTCGGGTGCAAACTTCCCCTTCAATTGCGAATAGCTGCCAGACCATCCTGTCTCCCGTCGTTATGGAGAACTTTCTGGAAGCAGTAGCAATATCAAAGAAAGACAGCTTGTTTCCCGGTCCAAGTAAGACCTTCAGATACTCACAACAGAAATGGACTGACGACTAAGGGCTAGACTCCATCCACAAATCACCTTCGGCCAGAGGAAGAAGCCCGCTGTCGCCACAGTCACTTCGGAAAGGAGAGACCAATGATATGACGGACCAGGACGATATAAAGGCGTCGGAGCAAAGAGCCACAGCTGGACAGATGCCTGCTGATCATGGCCGCCAGGCAAAAAGGAGGAAAGTCTTTCATGAATGCGTAGTGCCACTGAACATCACTTGCCATCAGAAAGCCATGTTGCCGCTCCGAGACAGAAGGCTTCTGCGAAAATACTATCAAAAAGCGTTCGAAAGCCTGCAGCAAATCAACTGTCGGACTATCGCTAAAGCATATGTCAAACTTGTCGAGCCCCGAAAGCAAGTCAATTATCCTTATAACGGGCGGAAGCTTATCGCTGGTATCTCTCAACAGCTCGACCCAGAGATGACAAAGCCAGCCTGGTGGCCACATGGTGTCACACATAAAGAGCCCGACCATCTTCCCAAAGCGGGTAAGATATGACGGAGACTTTCTCAGTTTTTTAAAAGCTGACCGTACCAGAGAGAGTTCGATTGCTTGTACACATTCTCTGTGAGCTCCGCGACAGCCGTGGCATCACTGTCGCGAAGCTTAGAGAGGCCGATCAATCCATCCGCCGTCAGATTTCACCACCGGACCGTCTGGGGGTCCTGGACGAGATCTATCGCGTCCGAGAAGAAGAGGAGAGTTACCTGGACGACCATCTCGGTACGTAGCCCTTGACGTTTATACCAACATAAAAAGAGGCACACTCATCTCTTGATAGACGAACAAGCAGTTGTGTATATCTCTCGAGCACATTTGCCGGATGAGATAGACCTGAAGGATGCTGGTTCTCCCATGGCAGAAGTGATGAACGCAGACGTGAACCGAGTCTACAAGAGAGAGGGTTATGACATGGAATCCCCCACATCAGTCTTCCCGTCAACAGGAGCCTTTCTCATCAGTCATACTGATACAGCGAGCGGGAAGGGCGATCATGGGATCATGGACACCAACCCGGATTCCTGCCCCTCCGCAGTATTACCGACTCCGATACTGAAGGAGGGCCACGAAGGGGAACATCCGTTCTCTGTAAGCATTCCATCGACCTTCCACAATGCCCCTCCACTTGTTCCCTTGAACTTTCACGCCTTTCCTCTGCGGTTTTATCATGAGCCGAATGTCAGTCATGGGCAGCAAGATCAGCATAGGCCTGACATGGGCGTCGCTGGCAATGGTATGGAGAGTTGTCCAACCCCGTACTACTTTAACTTTTGACGTCTGATTATTGGGAGGATGATGAAGCTGCCTTCGAAGTTGTCTTTGAAAGGATTTGCTGGTTGACCTTGTTGCTGCACGTAAAGCTTGATGTCGGTTTTGTGTATCATTTGGCGGGCGACTTGATACAAGTCGAAGCACATATTCTCGTTCAACATTGTACTCCATATAGAGAATCTAATAGTGGTTGAAAGTAGTCAAATGTTAAGAACTAGTTCGAGAAGCTGAAGATAATTGAAGAAGGAAGAGGACAAGGAGGTTTTTGGTTTGGTAGGAGGTGACAGAAGATGACACCTTCCTAGTTGGCTGTGCACCTGACCTTCCAGAAGACGTATCTATAGCTGCCGTTGAGCCCCGCCATAAGATGCTCGAAGCAAAGTTCATCAACTGAGATTCTTTCATAGACGACCTCTTTTTGCTTGCAAAAGTTGTATAAAAGAGGTATGGATGTTTCATGAACAAGCCTGGTTTTGCGTTCCAGCAGTGAAGCTAACCAAAATTAGGTAGATGTCCAAATGAATTCATTTTGCAAATGCTGGACTCATTTTAACTAGTTACAAGAAAGAAGAGAAAAAATGCAAACGAATGGATCTGCTAAAACAGCGATCCATTTACAGGCACTGCGAGTACCAGTCATTCTGCTTCTGGCAAGTGGTTCCACTGACACAAGTTGTTGGCCCGTTCCAGCCGATACCGCCGCACTGTCCCCATTTCTGAGCGACTCCAGTAGAGCTTGCACCTGTTGTAGTCGTGGTCTTTGTGGTGGTGGTCAAGGTAGTGGTCGTTGTGGAGCCGCTTGCTCCAAGACCTGCCATCAGGCCATTGTAGGCTGGCTTCTTAACGTAGTTCTCATTCCAAGGCAATGCGGCGCCGTAGCCTGAGAACACGCCGGGAACCCAGGAGTACTTGTCGGTCCAGTCCCAGATGGTGACACCCACACAACCGGCGGTGCTAACGCATGCTGCGGCCACGCCCTGGAAGTCATTGGACTGCTGGGCCAGCTTTGCATCGGTCGAGGGCAGCTGCATGCGGATGTCAAGTTCGGTATAGGCGACCTCGACGCCGAGAGCAGTGTAGCCCTTCAAGACGCTTGTCAGATCCGATTGGCTCGGAGTGCTGCCGACAATGAAGTGTGCCTGGAGACCGACGCCATCAATCTTCGCTCCGTAGGCCTTGATCATCTTGACAATGTTCTGCGCAGCAGTCGCTTTGGCCCCGGAGTATTCAATGTTGTAGTCGTTGTAGTAGAGTTTCACGCTGGGATCTGCTGCGGCAGCAGTCGCGAATGCAATGGGGATGTATGCTTCACCAATTGTCTGGTAGAAGATGGAGTTACGGAAGGTACCGTCTTCGTTCAGGGCTAGATTACCAGGCTTATCAGTTTCAGAAGCCCTATTGTAGGATAGATGGAGCAACCGACCTTCATTGACAACATCCCATGCATAGCACTTCCCCTTGTAGTGAGTGACCACGTTAGTGATATGGTTCTTCATGGCCGCTAAAAGGGTTGCATTGGTCCACGATCCGCTCGAGACTGTCAACCGTTAGAGAGAATTCGAGAATGAACGAGACATCCGCTTACCCCAGTTCGGGAGCTGATTGTGCCAGACCAGAGTATGGCATCGCATCATCTGGCCATTCTTGGTCGCCAGATTGACGACTGCGTCTCCATTTGCGAACGAGAAAGAATTCCGAGAAGGCTCGGTGGAATCCCACTGTCCGTCAAAGAAAGCAATTAGCCCCTGACTCAGTTGGTCCAGGGAAAAGATGTAAACAAACCTTCATGGAGTTTCCCGGCGTGATTTGACCGAAGTCGTCGGTGTTGCTCAGTTGAGCGACGTACGTAGTGTCCGTGAGCTCTGGGTTGTCAGTAGCGGAGCCGAAGTACTTTAGTCCTTTGGCTTTGGCTGCTGTGTTCAGGCCAGCTCCATATACGCTAGAGCGATGTCAGAGCTGCTTCTTCTCATCACGAGTGGGAAACATACAGAGGCAAAGCAGCCAGAGCTGCCGCGATTGAATATAAATGAACCATCTTGGAAAGTACTTTGAGATACGAATTCAGGAACGATAGTTATCTAGTCTAGTCAATCGCAAAATAATTCCATTGCACAGGTCTGGATGCCCGTTCTTATACGGACGGAGGTTATTATGATTCTAGGACAAGGACCAGGCTAAAAAGACATGGTTCACAATACTCCGTATTCCAGATTGATCCCAATCACTTCAACCGGCGCTAATGGTCGTCAACGCTTGACGGCCGGCATAATTGCCGTGATATATTCTTCAGGTCGAGGATAATGTGAGGGCCGTATGGCCTGTTCGATTGGTGCAGGAAGGCATTGACCACAATGACTTCATCGCTTTGGGCAGCATGACCGGCTCGAGTTCGGCCAAGAAACAGTAGACACCTATTTGCCCAATAGTCTCTAATAAGATCAAGCAATGATAGCTTTTAGCCTGAAAATAGACCCAATGGCTCGCAGGAGAGACAGCCAAAGAATGCTAGTCTGCAGTGAGTGAAATGGTGGGCCAGTGAAATTGTCACCAGAGTGACCAGACAGGTTAGTGTTGTTGACAAGGGATTTAGGGTGTTTCAGGAGTCACTTCAAGTACGACAATCGATGTTTTTGACACCCGTTTTAATGAGAGACTTTGATACAAATGTCCTTTAAAGAGGTAATCTGTCGAAGGTGAAAGCGAACCATGATCAACATCGTAAGAGAACCAGGTACAAACGGCAAATGCCGACTACGTACCACTCTTCAGCTTCATTACGTTAAGCGAGGAAGCGAGATCCAATAAACATCCCTTTCTCCAGAAGTGGAGTTCTTCAGGGGATGAAGGAACAGAATTTCCCCGCATTTTGTCCGGATAAATTGGTGCAAAGAGTGGCTGACCATCCAGTCAAATTACTCCTTAGATGAACTGGCTTGCAGTCGGAGACTTAAGAGACATGACTTTCGTCAGTAGCGAACTAACGTAAGCGAAATTCATCTACCTAGTTATTTCATCCTACACAGTCATAAAAGGTCGTTACGTAGGAGATTCGGCCCACGATTCCGGCGCCATTCGGCAGTTTGTCCATACAGCCTGAAGAAATACGGCCTGCAGAACAGCCTATGGCTGTATGTACATCATTGAAGTTATAGGGTACCCCAAGGATATTCAGGGATCGAAGATCCGAGAAATACACGTATTCCACAAGTGGAAAGCAATGCCTCTTCCCTGGGGTAGACAGATAGGCGGGATATTGCCCAACGCTAAGCCTGCCAGGCCACGGTGTAATGAGCTCAGAAGCATTCAGTCTGACGGACTACTGCACGTGCAATAGTCAGTGCATCCACGAAGTAAATACCCCGGTTGACGGAAATTTTAACCGGTATGTACTCCTAAGGATCAGCCTTCTTTTCTGGCCTTCATTTCGGCAATGAATTTTGCACTCTTGGAGGTCGGTATCACGTAGATCCTGACAAGCTCGTCGACTACTTCAACCTTGCCCCCGCTAAGGATCTGCAGAAGTGGTAGTTTCTTGCCGGCCTTGATCAGTCCCCCTGTCACAGTTTCCATGAAGCAATCAACGCCGTTGATCGTATACTCCTGCTTGGTGTCCCATGGCAATGGGAAGATGTACTCCAGGTGATCTTCAATAGACGTCATCTCAGAGAACGTCTTAATAAAGTCTGATTGGGCGTCCATGTGGTACAGCAGAACGGCCGGAAACTCAAGGGTACTTTCGGGAGACAAGGGATCGGGAGTCAGCCGAATGTGTGCATCCTCCATGTCTGGCGGTTGCGCTGTCTTGCGAGTCCTGATTTGTCTGGCACGTAGTGCAGTACTGAGAATCAGCTTTTCCTTCTGTACCCGTTCCTCCTCCGCCTTCTTTCGCGCCGCAATACGCTCCAGAGTTGCCTTGCGATCGGCAATTTTGGCGGCCACTTGTTGTAGCGACTTGTTGTTGGGGTCAAGGGCGAGACCCCGCGAAGCGGCATCTTCGGCCTCCGGAAGCTTGTCGAGGGCATAAAGCGCCATCGCGGAACGATAATAAGCTTTGATATTGTTCGGGTTGAGCTTGAGAACAGAGGCGCAGTCGAGGGTGGTAGAACGGTAATTTTCTGGGCCAAATTAGCAACTTGTGCCAGGGTGTGGCCATAACGCAAGTGACATACTCAGTTCCAAATTGCATAGAGCGCGGTTGATGTATGAAGCCTCCTCGGCCTGCCGCAGGAGCTTCTCCTCCTCTTTGGGATCCTCTGGCTTATCCCACTTATCGAGTTTAGTTGTCACCACCGCAAGAGCCTTGGTATAGAACTCCTTGGCATCGATCCATCTCTTTTCTTTTGCTGCCTCGTTGCCTTGCTCGCGGTAGCTCTGGGCAACTTCACCACGGGTACCTTCGTTCTGGAGTGCTTGAATGGCATCGAGCATGGGATTTTCACCATCTACGCAGCGAATGCATCGTCAGTCTTAGTCATGCAAATTGCATCTACCGCTTAGGGAGGATAAGCTTACTTTCGTCGCCCGCCTGATTAAGATCCGTCATGAACAGCGGGGTTTTATTCATCATGCTCCACAGCTCCTCCGAAGTATGTGACTTGACCGACGCCATGGACGGCGGCAGCTTGGGTGCCTTGGGGTCATTTTCGAGCTCCTTTAATCTCTCTTCGTTGATCGGAAATGGAGTCTCTTCGACGGCGGAAGGAGGGCCGTCATTGTGAATTTTGCTGGGAGGCACCTCGGTAGCAGGAGGTAGTTCGTTAAAATTGAGGCGCTCGTCAAAGTCGTCTGGAAGCTCCTCTATTTGACCCATCGTGCTATCTGTGGCTGAATAAACGGATGTTTAATATTCTTGATCAAAAAAGTCTCACAGAATCAGTACCTGACGAACGCTATCAGAACAAACGTTGCAAACAGGAGGGGATAGGGTTTGCCCTTCTGCCTTATTGCCTTGGAAACGGAAGGCGGTGAGCAGTCCTTCCGCCAGGTCCCAAGTAAGCTACCTCTATCCTCTTATACTTGGGTGACGGCGAATTACTAGAAGCGGTATAGCGTTCCTATTTGGGGAAAGCGCATGGTTGAGCCTTGGCATCGCAGTGTGTGGTCTATATAGCCTCCTCCTTGCCCTCTCGATTATGGCCAATTTATACTTTAATATTCATCTTTGGGTGACATATAGTACAGTAGTCTTAAAAAGGGCCCTTTTTCTATGGAATACAGAGGTGGCCCGCTCGCTTACCGATTACGTTAACTAACGTATTTCCCGGGCGAGCGGGACACCCCTCATCCGATTTTGATGCATTTGAACGTTTGAAGCCATCTAAATCAACCAAAACAATATATTTTTATTGGATCTAGCTAGTATGGTGTGTAGGGCATCTAGTTCTAGTATGCCCTATAATGAAGTAATTAGTACACCTTGGTGGCGCGTGTTTTAGGGGTTCTAAATGTAAAGGTGTAGATGGCCCTTTACCCTTAATATCTTAGTTCTTGCCTGGATAAGATCCCTAGCTTCCTGCATGCAGAGTCCTTCATTAGGAGCTATCTAGCATTTAGATTGCTTCCTTTTCTGCTTCTCTTTCTTATTGGCTGTGTGTAGATCATGATTCTCCTTTGCTAGTAGGGCTGCACTGTGCATAGCCATCATGCAACCCTTAATAAGCTGCTGAATAGCTAATTTTAAAGGTGTTAAAGGGCTTTAAGAGCATTGTTTTAGGAGCTTCTTGACTGAAGATGCTTGCTTGCGGGGACAAAGTGTATGATCAAGCGCAATGTGATCAAGAGCCTTTGATCACTGCTTGGTAGAATAGAAATCGAAAACTTAATGGGACAGCTGCTTTGTTGTTTTATACTATTTGACATCCTGCATACTTTGCATATGGTTCAACACGACTCTCAACTTGACTCTGGGCAGATAATGAGTAGGATGCTACATTCAACCAAGAAGATAGAGCAATTGTGCTTGCGCATTCCCTGCACAGTCCATCTCTGCTTACAGATTACGTCAAATCTGAAGTGGGAAATAATTTACATTCAAAAGTTTATTGGATTATGTGACTGACACCCATCTAAAAGATGTGTACACCTATTCACCCTTATTAAGTGGTGGTGGTTCAACAACCCATTCCTCTTTTAAATTGAATAAAATATCAATAGCCTCCTTGTCACTGGCTTCATCACCATCATTCGTTCCATTTTTAGTGGGAATGTGAATTCCTCTGCCCTCTCCATCACGCCCTCCTTCAGGTTCTTCTTCAGGTTCTTCTGTTGGTCCCCCCTCTGGTTCTTCTTCAGGTTCTTCTTCAGGTTCTTCTTCAGG